AGAGAGAGAGAGAGAGAGAGAGAAAGAGAGAGAGAGAGAGAGAGAGAGAGAGAAAGAGAAAGAGAGAGAGAGAGAGAGAGAGAAAGAGAGAGAGAGAGAGAGGCATAAAATAATTCATTTGCATTTAATTGTAATGGTTCAAAGAATGTTCGGAAAAATGTTCGGCCCTCCAGCACGTTCACTTCATCCAATCTGGCCCTCTTTGAAAAAAGTTTGGACACCCCTGTCATAAGGGCTTTGTAGGTGATAATCTGTACTTCAAATTGTATCTGGAAGTCTACTGATGTCATCTGGGCATACTGCTGCATGATCATTACTTTTCTGCTCCCACATTCTAGGCCAGCTATAACTCCAGGGTGGTCGTCAAGGTCCATCCAATCTAGAACACACTGCAAGAGTCCAATTGTGACATCACTAAGGCACAAGTGACCATCTGAATGGCTTTCTAACCTAGGAAGAGATGCAATTGGCAGACCAGATGAATCTGTTGAAAGGTCCTCTTGGCCACAGCTGCCACCTGCTCTTCAAATAGGAGTTATGAATCCAAGGAGACTACTAGGTTACACACCAGTCTCAAATAGGATAGTGCTATCTCATTAGAGATTAGATACGGGAAGTCCACAGGATAGGGAAGAGCCAAATATCTATAACCACTTGGTCTAATCAGGATTGTCCAAGTCTGTCCCTATCCATCCAGACCTACACAGCTTCCAGACACTGGGACAAAACTTTCACAGCCCAGGGTCAATATGTACAATTACAACGATTCCAGACTGGTTTCAGGTAATGATTTTCTTTATTTACAATTTTATTGGATTGTTGTATGCCATCCAGAATCACTTTCTGTGAGATGGGCAGCCATATAAATTTGATTAATAAATAAACCAGCAGGTGATCTTTTACAGATGTTTCATGTAGATATTAAACAAAAAGGGCAAGGGTATTAAGCCCTGTGCCATCCCGTAAGGAACCACAGACCTCTTCCCCATCAACACTGACTGGAATCAACCACCAAGAAAAAACTACTAACACAGCATCTCTGCCAACTCCCAGTCCCTAGTTCATCCAGAAGGCTACTGTGATTGTTATCAAAAGCCCTGGAGAGATCAAGGTAATTTTTCCTCCAGCTACACTGCTCTAGCTCTTTTTTATTTTTTATTATATTTCATGTTTCAAGACTATTTATTCCGCCTTACTCATGTTTCACTTTGTTTGGATCTACTTCCTGCTTGTTCACCCAAAAACTATTGCCCCAGTTTTCAATACAAATAATGGTTGATGTTGTTTAGATTTTGCAATCAGGGTAGAAACTCTGTTTTACAGCAAAGGACATTCAGAGTTCATATTTGACAAATTTTCACAATAAGTGCCTGAAACAGGAAGCACTCAAGCAGATTACTGTAAATGTTTAAAGCGTTAAAGTCTTACAGTGCAAGCTCAGACTCTCAGACAGGCCGATAATGTACGGCTGATTGCTGATCTAGAGATCTATTGATTTAGCCAAGATTATTACTCTATGATTAACTGCTTCATTCAAAGTTAAACTTTGATTAGAAATGCTCTTTAATATAAGGGAAAGCAAAGTGGGAGGAACCAGGAACAACTGACACATTTATTTTTGGCACAACAAGCAGGAATTTATAACATTAAGAGCTGCCAAGCTGTCATTCAGTCTGACTTCTTTTCTAGGATGGTTGGAAAAGGAAAACAGGACAGCAAAAGATGACAACCATTTCGTTTTAATTAAATTTTAACTAGGTGTAATATGTTAGCTTTTTATCATTTGTCAGCCGCCCTGAGTCCGAAAGGAGAAGGGCGGGATATAAATGCAATTAATAATAATAATAATAATAATAATAATAATAACCACGAGGTGTAGTACAATGGGAAATGCCTTATTTGTATAGATTTTCAACTTACCTGAAATAGCCTTGGATAACCACTTCATTCAACACTACACCCTAGTGGCTCAGTGGTTAAGAAGCTGAGCTTGTCAGCTTTGAAAGCTGGCAGCTAAGATTCGAAACCCAAGCGCCATGCAATGGGGTGAGCACCCGTTCCTTGCCATCCTAGCAGTTCAAAAGCATGTAAATGTGAGTAGATTAACAGGTACCACTTCCATGATAGCATGCTGTCATGCAACAACTAACGGAGTAAAATCTGCAGGGACGCCTTTACTTTTACTGTTGTAGAAGTTCTCCACTAAAACAAGCTGCCTTTGAAACAGGAAGATAAGAAGTACTGTTGGTACTTTAGCATGTTTTATATTACTGCAGTGAACAAAACATATCACTTTAATAATCCTAGAACAAGTTGCATAGCAATATTTTTAAAACTTTGCAGGAGAGGGAGACAAAATTATGCTGTACAAATTATTTACTTTGTTGAACACTTTTAATTAAGAGATATAATGATTCATTCTAAGGTTTGGGCCTGCTAGATATCATATGCAACTGAAATACCTGGAGCCACTTATATCAATTCTCTACAGCATTTCCTAATGACTCCTTAATGATATCATATAGCACATGCTAGTCCACTAATAACAATTCGTTTCCGGTCACCAATTACTTTCAGACCAGCACCACCCTGTGGCTTTACCTTAGGTTCAAGGTCCACTATCAAGTGACTTCAAACTGCAAACAAGTCCTTTTACTCACAGGAAGATAGCCAATCATACACAGCAACGGGTACAGATTAAAATAACTGCCAAAAGGGATGCAGTCAATGTGTAGAACTTAAATCATGTTTATTCAGCTAAGAGGCATCTGCTAACAATGAGCCTTAAAGACATAATACCCTTCTGCCATAGACATTAGCAGTGGTCAAGGGAAAATAGGGAAAGGCGTGAGAAGATGGGGAGTTATAGGCTGGTTGAACATGTGGCTCTTGTCATGTTACATTATCCACAGCATACCAATTGGCTCACATATCCTCCTATGATTTTCAAACATCTTCCTTTCCTCTCCGATGTCCTCTTGAGGTAGAAAAGAAGGGTCTGGAAAAATTGGGAGGAGCAGGTTGATGGGTATATCATGGTTAAAGTTAAGGAGAGGTAAGGGAAGAAAAGCATTCAGAACATAGACGGGCCATGCAGGACCAAGAGACACCATATTTGCCCTTCTTGTTTTATATGATCTCTCTGGACTTATTATACCTGAAACCTGGAATATCTAAATATCTGATTAACCTCAAAATGCTGCTTGGCAGTTTATTCCAATACATTTATTATTTGAACCACATTCTCCAACTATTGGAGATTTTAGTGTAATTAACTGAAATTAATTCTAAACCACTAATCCCTTTTAACAAAGTTGAAGAAACTCATTATTTGCATGGCCTTTACATAATGAGCTGGGGCACCCTGTCCTGGTCAGCCAGTAGAGCTATAGTTGAATAATGTGAAATCAGGTTCCTATACTATTAAAATGAGATTAATACTAACCCCCAAAACTGTACACCTCAGAGAACTGAGTTGAAAAAGTAATTTAAAAATGTATTTTTACTGCCAAATTTGGGGCCAAAATCCATATTAATATGATTTTGTGTGTATTAAGAGAGGCATGGGCTTTTATCACCAGTATTTGGAATCTTTTAATAGGGGATTTTTCAACTATTGGGGTTCACTAAGAGAATTTATCAGGAGAACCCCTCCCCTGACTCCTTTTACAGTAATGTCATGTTTATCAACATACAAATTCATTTTTTGATAAAGAAGAAAGACTTCTCAAGCAAAATAGCAAATATTATCAGGATTATTAATTTTGAAATTATTTAATGTAGTTTTGACTTTTTATCTACTACTGTATTCAGTTTGACATACATTACACAAAAGATCCATCCAATATTATATTCCCAGGAGGAAGAAACAGATGCCAAAAGGAAACCTACAAATGAAAATACTGTTGTGTATATAATGAGTATAGGGAGATGTATCATCTCCTGAAATGAAGTCAACCTAGCTAGAATAATTTTTAGGCAATAAAATGCCCAATCATATCCTGCCTTTTTAAGTTAGTTTAAAGCAGGGGTGTCCAAACTTTTTTCAAAGAGGGCCAGATTGGATGAAGTGAACGTGCTGGAGGGCCGAACATTTTTCCAAACGTTCTTTGAACCATTACAATTAAACGCAAATGAATTATTTTATGCCTCTTTCCTCTCCCTCTCTTTCCTCTTTCTCTCTCTCTCTCTTTCCTTTCCCTTTCCTCTCCCCTCTCTCTCTTTCCTCTCCCCCTCTTTCTCTTTCCTCTCTCTCTTTCTCTTTCCTCTTTCTCTCTCTCTTTCCTCTAACTTTCTTTTTCCTC